CTTATTAGTAGCGACCCCGGGGGGAAATGGACCCCGGGGGGAAGGATGCCGGTCGCGAGGATAGTTCGTTAGAGCGAATGTGCCCTACACGACCCCAACGCTGGGAGCAAGTTGACGCGGTGCGCAAATATTAATCGGAATTGCCCTCCTTCGTTAACCTTGCACTGCCTCATCCTGCCACATGTGGCCCTCTCGCATGGATAGGGTGTCTTCGACAAGGGCACGGTGATGCAGGAGATGCTGCACAACTTCGGGCTGTATCACGGCTGGAAAGATGGAGTCGAGTATATGGACGATTCCACGGCCATGGGCTTCGGCAGCAGCTGCCCCTCTGCCCCCGAGCTGTGGCGTCTGGGCTGGGCAACACCCCTGGTGCAGCTCACCTCCTCGTCACTCCCCGTCGCGACCTTCAGGACTTACACGCTGCCGGCAACTTACCTCGGGCCTACCGGCGTCATGATCAAGATTCAACCAGACTGGCTCGGCAGTGCTTACACCAAGTAAGATCGTAAAGCCAAATTCCGTGCGTCTGTATAATGGTTTTTATCATTCATGATTATGCGCCCATATCCGCGTGTCTTCAGGAACCTCTACCTTGCGCTTCGCAAGCGAGCGGCTGGTGACATCGCATTGCTGGACCAGTTCAATCTAAAAGTAGGTGTACAGTAGTGCGCATTCGCCAGCAGGGCCCGTGCGAGCAAGGATGTCACGTCTAAGGCTAGCATCTGCAGCGGGGTTATGTATCGGCGGCCAGCTACTACAGGGAATAGTCTCAGAGGCTGTCTTCGATTTGATAAATCGAGCAATTTGGTAGACTGCGTGCACATGTCCACGGACATAAGTGTCCCAACTCCCAACCTGGTGCGCATGTTGCATGTAATGTAACGCAGCTCAACATACACGAGTTGGACAAGGACATAGACAACGACTTCAACGCTGCTGGTGACCCACACGTGAGCATCCTTCAAACAATAGAACCCGTTAAGTCAACCGCCTTGTTCAACTACCAACTGTTCATCCTGACGCGAGGTAAGCACTGACACGCGTGATTTGATGATGACTGGGAAAGTGAGCGGTTGACAGTGGATCCAGCTTTGTTTGTTTCAGATAATAGGCAACCAGGGGTGAAGATGTGTCGCTATAAGCATTGGATGGGTTTGCCCAAGCATGGCAGCGGCTATATCTCGCCAAAACAACACGTCACGCTGATGCGTTTCAGGATGTGTGTTTGGCCTTTGGCGGTTAATCGACCGCACGGTAGGGAACGGTCTGGCCGGTGGTGTCGGGTCTGTGGGAACCGGCAAGCTGTTGAGGATGAATGTCATGTGCTGCTAGATTGTCCTGCATATGCGAATATCCGTTTGAAGCTTTGGGACCTGGGGGTTACTCCTGGGAACCGCATGATCGAGATTATGGGCGTCAAGGATCAACGAGGGTTAGCGCACGTCCTGGATGACATTAGAAGATGCAGGTTGCAGTACGTTGAACAGATTAATCAATCTGTTATTGTTGGGTATTGGTTGGCATTTTTCTTTTTAAGTTCTTGTTTCCAGTTCGGCGGTTCATGAGCCTTTTGGCTCGTCTGGACCGTACAAGCTTGAAGCTTGTAACAAAAAACGTCAAAAAACGACACGCGTGATGAGATTGGTTGAGATGTGCACTGAAGTTGGAGTTTTTCATTCCTAGGGGTTTCATCCCGGGCGGGCGGGCGTATGATAAAATCTGATAATGAACCTCATCAGCCAGCCAAGAACTGCGCCTGAACAACTCCAGCAGAGCTACGATAACCCGCAAGCCTCTAATTATCTCGTTCGTTCTCCGAGACTGCTCACACCTTGCAGCACAAGATTTGCTTCCCCCAAAGCTGGTGGGGCTCCGGTCCTTACGTGGCACTAAACCTGGCCTAACCCGACCCGATCTCACCGCACGCAGGCCTGGCCAACGAGGGCTCCACCATCATCATTTCCGTGTGCCGCTTCAGCGCCAGCCTCGGGGAATGCATCCCGTAAGTCCCGTTAAGCTCTTCGACTCGCGTCGCGTAATCGTGATCCTGAGACTACCTGGGGCTGGCAGTGGGCAGGCGGCGTCCGTAACGCCACCATATGTGCGTGTGCGTGTGTGTGTGTCTGTGTGTTTGTGTGTGTGTGTGTGTGTGTGTGTGTGTGTGTGTGTGCGTGTCTGTGTGCGTGTCTGTGTGTGTGTGTGTGTGTGTGTGTGTGTGTGTGTGTGTTGCGCGGCGCAATGTGCGGCAAGGGCTCTCGTTGCGGTTGTGTGTATATATGTGTGTATAGCTTATCTGCTGTTCAGTGTGAAAGACAGACTTCTCTCCTGCCGTTGTGATGTGCTTGCAGGCCGGATCTACCACCGCCGCCAGCACAGCCGTCGCATCCCCCGTCACCGCCGCGACGACAGTCTCCGAGGCCGCAGCCATCCCCGCCTCGCTCCCCGCCGCGGCCGCCGCCACGCAGGCGCTCGCCGCCGCCGCCGCCGCCGCCTCGCATACGCCTGCCTCCACCGCCGCCGCCGCCGCGCCGCCGCCCTCCACCGCCTCCGTAGAAAAACTCTCCCCTCCCAGACCAGAGGTTCAATTGCCATCCGCCACAGTACATACATACAGCAGCTGTCTTGAAGACCGCTGGCGCACCTATCTCTTCGCCTGCTGCACCTTTCTTCCACCCTTGTTGTTTATGTTGTTGTTACATGGTGGTACAGCTTCACCAGTGGCCTGCTTGTTGTCTCTCCACTTCTAACCGACTTACTAACCCGATCATCAGCTTCCTCTTCTCACCGGAGTTATGACGCGCGTGTGGCTTTACCCTAGAGAACTGAAAGACTTAACCGCCTTAGCCGGGGGGTGAATCAACCATACAGGCCACTGCCCCATTCATTGCGTCGCCGACATTCATTCAATGACGCCATTCGTCCCTGCGCCCAGCCCAGGCGGGGCTAGGTCGGCGCGGACCGGCCCGTGTCAGCGTTACATGGTTAATTACCCGTGGAATGAAACTATTTATAGCTCCGAGAACAGTAGCTTGCTCCCGGGATGGTGTTCGATTTGTACTTAGTAAGACATCAGAGCTGTTTCTCATCATAGTGCCACTGCATATTAGTGGCGTGCTGTGTGGGACGTTAAGACTGCCCCATCGACTTTTATTGCTGCATTTTTTTGGAGCGTTTCTTAAAGCACTGCTATCGTGCTTGGGGATCCATTACCATCGGGATATACGTCATTACCGTGATCATGAAGATGTCGTACTGGATGTCGTACTGGCATGACCGCCGCGGGTTGGACGTAGAGCTGCAGACCACGCAGCTGCGGGTAACAGCTGCCTGGAGGACCCAATGGCGGGAAGCATATTGCAGCGGCAACGTCGTTGACGGCCCCGTCCCAGCACTGGATGGCGGCGGCTCCGCCGTCGCCCCACCAGCGCCGCGGCGGGGCCCCGTAGCGCTGTACCGCATCACGTCATGGACCTGTGAATGACCGGACATACATACATACTACAAAATTAATAGTACGGGTTGCTCAACAAGACGCCGGAACGGATGACACGACGACGGTTCGCGCTGCATTGCACCTCACTCTATTGACCATATAGTTAGTGCGATACCTTGTTTGGTTTGGTCGGCACCACTATGCCTATAGTGTGGTTCAAAAGGTGGCCGGTGACCGAGATGTGGTCGGACCCACTTTTGTGAACGTTTTATTTATTTAACGTTCATAAATTTAGCGCGTAAGGTATTGTGTTTTGGCTTGTGTTCGTGCCCGTGTTTCGTTGCCTGGGGTTCCTTATCTGGGAAGGCCAATGGCTGGGGATGCTGTTGCGGAGGGCTCAGGCTGCTGCTGCTACTGCAGCTATAGCTGCTGCTACTGCTGCTGCTGCTACTGCAGCTATAGCTGCTGCTGCTACTGCTGCTGCTACTGCTGCTTAGGGCTTGTTGAGGTGTACTGTTGGTGGTGTTCCGGATGCTGATCACACAGCGGATCGAGTGATGATCTACGGGCTCGGGAGTATTGAAAGATTGATATCGGCTGCTGCACATGGAGGCACGTCACCGCGCTTTTTGAAGTCTGAGGATGTCTCCAGGTCCGGATCTCTAGAGGTTGGGGCTAGGGTATTTTTTGCGCGCGTATCCCGTCGCGTGCATGACGACGTGCCGCATTACATGTTATTCAGTTAGCTTGTTCTGTTGTTCTGTTGTTCTTTTGACACATTACGTATTATGAGCGGCTGCGAGATCCTGCTCGTCTTCTACCATGCCAGGAAGCGGAAAGGTTTTTCTATGGGTATTGTATTGTATTGTATTGGCGGCAACCATTTCGAAACAGCATTATTATGGTTTCCGGGTCGGCCCGGGTCCTTTCGGGTTGGGGAGAAGGGGGCCACCTGAGGAGGCTTACGCGCTGGCGCCTGGGGGAGCCGCGTACCGAACCGATGCTGAGCCTTCGCGTGAACTGGAAAAGTTTCCGTTGTGCAACTCTGCAGAAACTTCTTTCCTTTCATACTACATGGCAATTTGAGTGAGATCGAATCACGCACTGACCAAAGAAGAATTCAGCTGGAAGAAGTGATCAAAAAGATGTCAAGAGCAAATTACTTGTTGCTGTACGGAAACCGGAGGAGACCCTTGGGCCTGAAGGTCATTCATAAATATTTTGTAGCATACGCTTTCCCGAATGCAATATAGGTATACAGTTTTCATGTGTGAACATTGTATGCCGCAAATCGTAATTCTGACAAGTATAGAGCTTCGGTCGTGAACTTTCAAACGTGAAGAATCGAAAGGTTATAACCACCCATTTTGTTATTTGATGAAGTAGTAATGCTCTCAGATTCAGCACGTCTTGCCCGAACCTGTCCCGATGGTCTCCGACAGCCGCCGACTCGCGTGCGGCATCCTTCGTCGCTAGCCGCCCATAATGGCAGCCTTCCCATCGTATCAAATGGAAGAGGCATTTCCCCAGGGCTTCCGTCTCAAAGACGCAAAGCTGTGGGTATATGCAATTTCCGCTCAAGAAAACGGTTGATGCGTGCTCACCTAATAACATCAACAAGAACTGTGGGACCTCTCACATAATTCCTGCTCGACCCAATTCCATAAACTCAACAACGCATTACCTTCCTGCCGTTTTGCAGTATGACCGTGTCGTACGAGCCTTGCCTGGCAAAGCCAGCGGCGACACATCGGGTCGGGGCTTCAGCGAATCGGAGGAGTCAGACGCCCGGCAAAGCGCTGACGTCAGCTGGTGGCAAGCCGAAGACCAACAGACCGATGAGGCGCAGACCCAGCAGCGGCAGCATATGGGCCAGCTTTCCCGAACTCCGGTCCTTCCTCGAACCCGCCGACTTACTCCCTTCCCTAGAATCCAGGATCCAGATGCCGCGTCGCCCGCCATTGCCGCTGCCGCTTCCACGGCCACCGCCGCCGCCGGCCTAAACCCCAGCAGTAGCCTCCTTGCCGGCGGCAACAGCGCCGGCGCTGACGCCAATCCCTTCTCCGCGCGCATGTTGATGCCGCCGCCGTCGCTGCCACCAGCCAGTTCACCGGCAGCTGCCGCGTCTCCGCACTCCCGGGCGTTTGGCGTCCTCTCCACCGCCATGTCAGTTCTTGCCGTCGGCGCCTACGTGTACACCCTGGTACGGCGCAGGCAAGCCGAAGATGCCACCAGCGGCGGCAGCGGCGGACCCATGGGTCAGAAGGCCCCGGCCGCCATGCCAGGCGTTGCGCCAGCCGGCGGCGGCTCGGTACCGCCGCCGCCGAAGGCATCAAAACGACCTGGCGCGGGCTCGGGGCTCTTTCGTCCCACAACCGCAACCCAAACCGCTTCTGCAAGGCCGCCGGCAGTAGCCTCCACCGCCGCCGCAGCGGTGCCGGCAGTAGCAACACCACCTGCAGCGGCTCCAGCCACGAATCCAGCTGAAGTCACAGCTGCTACGGCTCCACGCTCGGCAGCGGCTGCTGCAGGGCCCGAGCAGCCGCCTACCTCTCCCCCGAGGGAAAGCGGCTGGTGGCGGAGGCTGGGGCGCGTGTACTACATCAGTTTCGGAGCGCAGTACGGGCTCGTCCCACGGATCCGCCTTGACGGGACCGCTGGAACCCTTCCTGGCAGCAGCAGCAGCAGCAATACTAGCAGAGGCAGGGGAGGCAGTAGCAGCGCTGTCCTCGCGGCGTTTGAGGACCCGGCAGATGCGGAGTACGTGGCGAATGCTCTGTGGGAGGACCTGGTGCAGAGCGGTGGGTAGGGCTGGCGGAGCTCGCTCGTGGCGGAGCAGTTTCATCTGTATGTATGTTTGTATCATCATGTGATTCCTATTTCCCGCCCAAACACCCACTCCACCCCCACACGTGCCGGTCCTGACCCCCCCTGGCCCTCCCTTAGGGACGCAACCACCCGGGCCCCGGCCCCCCGGCTTGGGGGTGCTCTCCGCGGCGCCCATTTTCCTTGAGGACTTAGCGGTAAGGGGAGGAGAGAGGGGAGGAGAGAGGGGAGGGGAGAGGGGAGGAGAGAGGGGAGGGAGGAGGGGAGGGAGGAGGGGAGGGGAGAGGGGAGGGAGGAGGGGAGGGGAGAGGGGAGGGGGGAGGGAAGGAGAGAGGGGAGGAGAGAGGGGAGGAGAGAGGGGGGGAGAGAGGGGAGGAGAGAGGGGAGGGAGGAGGGGAGGGAGGAGTCCCCTGATGCTCGCCCAGGGGATTAGGCGCCTTGGGACTTGGGTCAACGACTCTTAATAACTGCCGTACTTCCGTACATCATATTTGAAACAATGCAAGGATTTCCCATCCTGGAGGAAGAAGAAAGAGCCTACACCCGCACTCTCTCGCTCCCTTGAACGCAACTGGCCTAGGTTCCTGCGGCTATCCTTCAGTTTCTTCATCAGCTCCTTGGTTGAAGTTAAATAAGAAATTTTATAAACAAATTATTTTATAAATTATTTTACAATGTTGAACAACAAACTAATTAAAAAAATAAAAGGTGAGATTAAGGAATTCAAGATGTTACAACTGCAAGAAGTACCGCTACATAGCAATTCCGTGGGATGCGTATACATATAGGAACATATAACAGGCATATACACATATATACTTCTTGTGTTTAATCATTATTCCTTCGTCGATGTGTCCTACGTCTTGTGCGGGGCTGTGTCCTGTTCAGGCCATGCGCGGGGCGCCTGTGGAGGTGGTACCTTCGGATGGCCTCAGGAAAGACATCCAGCTAAGCGGCCCCCAGCTAGAGATGGTCCTGGCGGCGCTAATACGAGGACTGCCGGCGGAGGCAGCGGAGGCCCAGGCGGAGCGGATGCTGTACGAGGCAGCAGCGGCGGCAGCAGCGGCCGAGGCGGCGCCCGCAGCCGCAACAGCTGGCAGCATCTCGCAGTCGCCGTCCGCTGCGATCTCAGGTTCATCATCAGGTTCATCGTCCGCTACCCGGGGCACACGGAGCGGTGGTCTCCCTGCGCGATTGGTAGAACAGCGCCGTGGGCCCAAGATCAAACTGCCCTCAAAATTTGACTTTCCGGGATTCGATGTGGAGGAAGCCCAGCAGCAAGAAAGGAGGGAGGTTACGACGACGCCTGCGCCGCAACAAGCTACGTCCACAGCCGCGCCGGCTACAGCGACAGGGGTGTCGCAGGCGGCGGCGCCACCGCCGCCGAGTGCCGTGGGGGCGCTGCCGCCAACGGGCCCGCTTCAGCCAGCGTTGCCGCCACTGCCGCAGGTAGTTCCATCTGCCGTACGGGAACCCGTACGCGGCGGCGGTGATGGCGCCGATGACGAGCTTAGCTCCCGTCGCTGGGAGTTGCCGTACAACCGGAAAGTCATCGATGCGGAGGCGGTAGAAGTGTCGACTCCGTCCGCTCCGCCGCCGCCGCCGTCAGCCTCGTCGCCAGGTTCAATCTCCAGCTCCCCACCGGCGACAGGCCGGGATGCAACCGCCGCTACAGCAGCTACTGCCGTTCGCATGAACGACGTTGACGAGGCGATGCTTGAATACCGAGAGCTTGAAAGCCTGCTCGCCATGGCCGTAGGCGGTAGTGGTGCCGCCGCAGCCGGCACAACGGCCGGCGAGCGTTCGAATCCCACCGGGGACAGGAGACGTTTCATGCCAGATGCCACAGCCATCGCTGCAGAAACAACGTCCGGGTTGTGGTCTCTACCTGCCCAGAATCGCCGGGATGGTGGGCAGGAACTTCCGAGGTTGGGGTCGCAGCAGCTGCAGCAGCAGCAGCAGCAGCAGCAGGAGGAGAAGGAGAAGGAGGAGGTTCACGTATCCGCCACCGGCCTAGGGACACCCGAAGAGCAGTCACTGCGACCGCAGCTTCAGCAGCAGCAGCAGCAACAGCAGCAGCGGATGTCAGGGGCAGAGGTGGCGCAGGCAATATTATCTAAGCAGGTGAGTATGTATGTATGGGGAAAAAAACCGAAAAAAAATAAAATTAAATGCCACTCTGTTTTTTCTTTTCACAAATGCCCCACCCAGTAGGGAGGCAGGAAGGCAGGCACTGAACGGGCGGTCGTGTACGCCACGTCAGCAACTGTTGATGCATCTCCATGATGCTATTTCCTGTGTGCTTGACGAGCTCATGCCTTTTGCCGTCCGTACTACATGCTGCCGTACACAGGGCCCGACGGACGCCGCCATCGAAGCTGCGCTATCGGCGCTGGAAGCGGAAGTTGAAGGGGCGGATGATAAGCTCCTTGAGGAATATTATTCTATATTTAATAAGGGTAGTAGCAGCAGCAGTGATGGCAGTAGCAGCAGCAAAAATGGCAGCAGTGGCAGCAAGAGCGGGCTTCCAGAAAGCAGCGTCGAAGGATCACGGCGGGCGGCACAGTTTTCACCGTCCTCGTCGTCGTCGTCGGCATCCGCCAGCAGTCGAGCGAGCGGCGGGAGTGGCGGCGGGAGCGAACTAGCGGCGGACGTGGCGGAGGTGCAACGGCAGCTGGCGGATGTAGTACAGTGTATAGCGACTGCGCACGCGCGCGGCGTGCCGCCGCCGGCGGACGCTGCCGCCACCATGCAGCGCCTGCAGCGTCAGCTACAGGACCTCCAGGCAAGGCTGGCGGCGCCGCAGCCGCCGCCGCCGCAGCCGCAGCCGGCTCCCCAAGCCGCTGCCGCCGCCACCCGCCGTCAAGCAGGAGGTCTATTCTCTCAGCCGGCCTCCCCGCACCGCCCAACTAGCAGTAGCACTAGTAGCACTAGCAGCAGTAGCAGCAGTAGCTCCTCCAAGGGTAGCTGCAACGATATGGAATCTCCCCGGTCAGCAGCGCCAAGTGATCAGCCATCGGCGGAACCGGCGGCGAAGGACAGTACGACAATGACGGATCCAGCCTCGTTGGTGACCCCGTTAAATTTAGTCAGTAGCAGTAGCAGTAACGCCGCGGGTGGCGACTTTGCTGCCCGCGCTGACGGCGGCAGCAGCAGTAGCAGCAGCAAGGTAGGGGCTCGCCGCGCTTGGGGCGCTTGGAAGGCCAACCGGCGGATACAGGAAGCCGAAGCGACACTCCTCTCCAAGTCGGGAACGCGGGCAGTGACGTTGCCGCCGCCGCCGCCGCCGGCGGTGGCGGCAAGACAGTCGCCAGCGTCGCCGCTGTCACCGGCGGCGCCGCCACCGGCGGCTGGCGACGCGGGAGCGGCCGCCGGGTCGACCGAGTCAGGCAGCGGCGCCGTCACAGAGGACGGAGTGGTGGTAGTCAGCAAGCGCGTGGGGTCCACGCGACCCCCCAAGGTAACGCGAAGAGGGGGGAGGGCCCCGAGGGGGAAGAGGGGGACAATCTGTGGATGGTGCGGGTTATTGATCATAAAGCTGGTGTGAGCTGAAGGGAGCAATTTCAGCAACAAATGCACGAAGGGCGGTATTGAATTTTAAGGTTCTGAGGCTTTGTAAGAAGTGGTTTTTTTGTGGGAGCCTGGTTTATGGTTGTGATTATGTTGCTGCCGGGCAGCCGTTGCTGACGTCGTCCAGGTTCGAATCCTGATGACATCTTTATACTTTATTTAAGTGTTTTCATTCCCGATGTTGTTGGTTGTCTCCCGCGGGGTATGTGTCGCAGGTGGTGGAGGCGCCGGAGGCGCGACAGGACCGTGTTAAGGTACGGCACTGTACGAAACCCTATTTCACCGTATTGCCGCCGTTGTCCCGGTCCGGAATAGCAACCGCCAACTCCGAACTCGCAACCGCCAACTGCCGCTTGCCTACCTCATGTATGAGCTCATTCACTGATCGCTCGCTCGCTCTCTACCCGCACACCCGCGCTCATTCGTTCGCTCGTCAATGCGCACCCGCATTCACCGTCGACGTGCTCGCGGGTGACGCACTGCGCTTGATCTGTGTGCGGCAGCGCTCTCGTTGGTCATTTCGTAAGTCGCGTTTGACTGATTGCCATGACCCGGTGCTGATGGCCGCTCTGGTTTCCGGTCCGTCGTACAACCCACAAACACACGCGCATATACACAATTGTCGTACACATGTAATACACACACACACACACGCGCGTGTCCACTGTGGTCTCTTTCCTGATCGTGGTGGTGGATTACATGAGGTGGGTGGGTGGGTGGGTAGAGACGCAGGGCGGGTCGCACAGGCCCATGCGGTCGAGCAGTACCAGGGGACTGCGGGGACCCCTCGCGCCCCTCTCCTCACGCCGCTAGGGGGAGAGTGCTTCGGAGGTAACCGTTACCGTTGGGGTTTTATACGGTTAGGTGCTGCCCCTGGCCAGCGTCCCAGGCCCGGTCAGATACTTGTAACCTTCACACACACATAGACATACATATATATACATACATACATACATACATACATACATACATACATACATACATACATACATACATACATACATACATACATACATACATACATACATACATACATACATACATACATACGGTTTTCTGGAGGGTCTAGGAGCTGTGTGTCGTGGCAACGCTAACGCTTTGGTCGTTTCGCCAGACTATCCCGGGCCCCTGCAGTGGTGATCAGGCTTGTGCGGGATCCCTTTTCTTTATAAGGCTACTTCTCCCCTGGACCAGCCCAGGAAGGGACAGGTGGTGGAGGTCAGTTGTTTTAAGGTGGTTGCAAGACGTCTTGTGGTGTCGAGCTCTCTTAGCCTTTCTCTCTTGGAGGTTTCTTGTTGGCCTGTTAGGTATATCAGGAGCCCTCCCCTGCCGGGACTGCCCTAACC